TTACGTCTCCCTTCGATTTCCTACTCCTGCTGGTATACATTCTACTCCCAATTAGTTGTAAATATAATTTCTGAATCGAATTGAGGTTTTTGAATACGTAATTCACATATGTACATAAATCGGGCGTTTGAGGCTTATATTGAGCTCGATTGTGGAATTTTTTGAACTTCAGGAGAATTTCTGTAGTTGACAAACGATTTTCAATTTTATGCCTTTTCAACTCTGTTCTCATTTATCAGGAGGAGGGAAGTATGTTAAAATATAGTCCTTGCACTTTATTCTTCATCATGTATGTTTGTCTTTGTTGCCAACCTTGATAACTGATCAAACACTGAGAACTGATCCGATTTTTCTCCATGGCGAAAGCAACTATGAGACATTGGGCTTCCTCAAAAAATGTACAATTATATATATGATCAAGTGTAGAGAATGTTATTCTGATGGTTGAGTTTTAGGGTTTTAGTTGTTAATGGGACTGAATGATTGGTTACTGTTACTGTGTTATGCTCATTGTTCTCTGTGACTACTCTGATATTGAGATGAGACACTGGAGTTTATACTGACCTCTAGGATTTGTCACATATGCTAGGTCTATCCTAAAATGGATGAACTAAGATAGAAACATGATAAATTTGCTCGAATTCAACTCTAACTTGTTTAAAGCGGATTATTTTTCTTTGAAAGACCAAAAAAACAAAAATCACTTTTACGCTAACTTTTTTTTTCCTTTTCATTTTAACCCTTATATGTTAATCGGTTTCTTCATTTAGTTTTTCTCATATTATGTTTCTTTTCTTCTTAATTTCTTCGGCAAGTAGATAATGACGAAAGACTAAGCCTCCAGCTTAAGGATGTGTCATTAGAATTTTCCTGGCCAGTTGCAAGAATTAAAGAGGCTTTTCCAAACTTGGAAAATCCGATTCCTCCTTCCTCATGCTCGCTGGAGACTCTTAAACTAATTGCTTCTCTAGTCGATGAGCAGAACATTCCTGAGGCAAATATAGGTCTCGCTGCAGGTGTCACAGCTTTTCTTTGGCTATTCACCTCAATCCATGGGTATGAACTTTCATTCCTTTACTTGACCACTTGACATTCATAAAACAGATTTCATGATATCACATTGACTTTCTCTTTGATTGCCTTATTAGATGCAAACCAGCTAAAGCAGTTGTCAATTCTGAGCTTCCATTGGGATCAGGCTTGGGTTCGTCTGCAGCTTTTTGTGTTGCACTCTCCGCAGCCATTCTTGCATTGTCAGATTCAGTCACTATGGATTTCAGCCACCAAGGTTGGCAAGTTTTTGGAGAGAATCAGCTGGAATTGGTGAATAAATGGGCTTTCGAAGGCGAGAAAATAATTCATGGGAAGCCATCTGGTATTGACAACACAGTGAGCACATATGGTATGTGACAATATCCATTGTTACTATATCTGCTTTCCTTTTATGATATGTTACGGGACCACAGAACAAAGAGAAAACATCCCAGTCAAGCTGACAAGGGGCATTAAAGCATATAGTTTTGCTTAAGCAGGTAAAAAGCAAATATGCTAATTTGTGACTGAGAAGTAAGAAATTGGTAGGACTGTGGGAAATAATAAGCATCTATTAAGATAAAGAAAAAAGATATCTTAAAGAACTTGTAGCCTGTGGGTGCAAGAAAAAACATGTGATTAACTTGTAAGCCTCCCATAACTAAACATTATACTTGAGATTCTAAAAAGTAACACAGTCACGAAAAGACATTTTTGTTTATATGTCTTGCTGCCTTAAAATGACTATAACAGCTTAATCTTAGAAGAATTGTGTTATAAAAGAATTTCACAAGAGGAATTCATTAGGATTGTTAAAAATATTCCTATCTCTGTCATACCGTTGGTATGCTGTATTCTCCTACTTTTGTGTAAAATCTGCTTGTTAAGTCCATCTAGAAAACCCACTTCAAACAGTTGCAGTTTTTTTCCCCGGTAATTATGCTTTTGGAACGATGATATGAAAAAAAAGGTATCCTTAGTGATCTATGAAAAACTATTGAGATTCAATTATAGATTGTAACAATGTTAACAACACTTATTTTATCTTCTATACAAGTCTTTAAATCCCCCTAGGTATCTCAAATATTTGTCATATGATAAAAGACATCTTGTTGTTTGTTTGAGAGTTATGTCTTCTATATTGCCAGAAATGAGGATGTGTGTCCTAATCAGACCAGAATTAAACAAGAATTGGAGACAATGCAAACACAAAGCTCCTCGTAATATTAACAGATCTTTTACTTCTGTGGTAATTTTAGGCAGACAAGTTAACCTCTTCATGTCCACACCCCAAAAGTAAAGTTTTAGAGGAAGTAATTTTGAAACAAAGACTGATGTTAACTGGAAACAAGGACAGATAATCAAGACTCATATTGCATGGTGGCTAGCGCAATATGATGTAAAGTGCTGGCGACAGAAAAAAATCATTTTAGGGTAAATGGGGACAGTCAACATGGAACAGACTCTACCAGTCACAGTCTAAACATGCCATTACTTGCTTTCAAAGAGAAATGCAAATCTATTTCTTTTCAATTTGCATGTTCTATGTTGCTTAATTATAACTTTTTGTTTGCAGGGAGAAGAGAATGGTTCTCTCTTCTTCTTTTGCAGCTCTGCCGATTAGACTTCGAATATATGTCCTGTTTATATTTGGTCTTACAAAACATAGAATGAGGTCTTAGATCCATTAGAGAATCTGAATTTGCTATTCATGAAGGTAATGAATTGATACAGAAGATTATCTAATTAGAACAGATGAGCTATTTTAAAATTGATGTTTGCTTGGCAAAGATTATGCATAGGGAAGCTCCTGAATTACAATGTTAATTTCTCTCATGTGCATTGGCGGCATTTTGACAATCTTCTCCTTTTATGTGGCATTTTTTTTGGGACACGGGGTTTGTATAGTCACTTGCCCTTATGTTCCTCCTACTATCTTCAAGGTATCATGTACATGATTTTGCCTGAAATATTTTCCATGGTCGATTTTTCTTCTATGGTTAAGAAACATAGGATATTTTTCAGATACTCCATGAAAGGATGTCTCAGGATTTTAATGATTTCACAACCTATAACTTTACATACAGGAAATATGATCAAGTTTAAGTCAGGTGATTTGACACGCCTCAAAACAAACATGCCACTTAAAATGCTGATCACTAACACAAAGGTTGGGAGAAATACAAAGGCATTGGTGGCTAGCGTCTCTGAGAGGACCTTGCGGCATCCGACTGCAATGGCTTCTGTGTTTACTGCGGTGGATTCTATCAGTAATGAAGTGGCTGCAATTATTCAATCACCTGTCCCTGATGATCTTGCCATAACTGAGAAAGAAGAAAAACTGGCAGAGTTGATGGCGATGAACCAAGGATTGCTTCAGTGCATGGGTGTTAGCCATGCTTCCATAGAAACTGTTCTTCGAACAACTCTAAAGTACAAACTGTCTACTAAGTTAACTGGAGCTGGTGGTGGAGGCTGTGTTTTGACATTACTACCAACCCGTATCCTTTTATCTATTTTCCTTCTGAAATGCTTTCTAATCAGAACGTGCTATTTATATGATATCTCTATTCACTATTGACATTTTTGGAGTTAGTCTGTTTCTCCAGGATATTATACTTCGAAACTTTAATCAGCTGTACCTGGTCTGCATAAATGGGATGCATTGGCCATCCCCATGCACATTAAGCTTAGGTTCTTGAACATTACTCTAGAAGGGTAAAAAAAAAGTTATTCACTAGGCCATAATTCTATATGCCTAGAAAATTGACTGTCTTTAGCATGCTTCATCTTTTGATATTATTGTGTCAACTTTGCTTGTACTGATACAGTGATGGACAATATTCTTTATCACTACGTGTTCTGCATAATGACATTCGTTTTTTGCTTGTGGAATCTACATCTTATTTAGAAGTATGAACTGCAATTCTTGCCTTAACCAAGTGTGTCTGGAATATGTAATATTTGCTTTCTTCTGCTTACGGTTTCACATGCCGTTGTCAAGTTTCTCATTTCATTTCTCTTGGAACAAAAAACATATGTATGCACATGAAAGCCAAGTTTTTCATTTCGTTAATTCGTAGAACAAAGAGCATATGCGCTTGAAAGCATTGGGTTTAATTGATTAGAGTTACATGATTCTGCAGCTATTTTACATGTTTTTATATTTTAGAGTGTTGCTTCTATCCCTTGTTGGCTGATGTACTTGTTGCTTTCGTTAATTGATTTAACTACATTTATGATTCTTGCTGAGCTTATTTTACAGGGTTATATCCATCTTTTCTGAAAATACATAGTTCTACCGCTATTTTATAATGTTATATCCATCTCCTTGTCTGATATATTACTTGATCTTTGCCATGAGTGCTGCCGAGTTCCCACATTTCAGCCTAGCCTTCTTTCAACTTTCCTTGACAACAATTTCCAGTTCTGTCAGGAACGGTCGTTGATAAAGTGATAGCTGATTTAGAAACATGCGGATTCCAGTGCCTGCTTGCTGGAATTGGTGGAAATGGCGTAGAATTTTCATATAGCGGCATTCCTGATATTGGAGGCAATTTTTCATGAGATCCATCTTTTCACTCTTGAATGTGGACTCAGAAGGTGCGCTTCGCAATCTAAAGGAACTCAGATCCCTACCGTCCACTTGTTTTATAGTTCAGGTCTTGATTAAGAACTTGTCAACTTGTTTTATAGTTCAGTCTTGACAATAATTATAGACAAATTTCATAGTGCTCTTTTTATTTCTGTGACAAAAACATAAATGACAATAGGAAAATCCCCCGTTTTTGATGATTGATAGCAACCGCTAACTAATTTTTTTAATTCCGAAGTTCTCTTCTTGCTTCATCCTATTTACTTGTCCTCCAGTTGGTTTAATTTTGTTATCCAGTTGCTGTTGGCTTCTTCCAACCATATCTAAGAGCAGCGAAACCTTGCTTAAAGGGAAAGCAAAGCGCAGACACGGATAAAACAGAAAAAAGAGCATATTTCATTGCAACTTATAAACAGAGTAGATTATTATTCTATTGATACCACTTCACTGTGGAGACCATAGTGCAAAACACAGATAGTACATCAAAACTAACACACAACAGATCATAGCTTTCGCTGACAGCTGACAAAAGCTCCCAAAGACTTTCAAGCATTGACTATCGTCCCACCTGCAAACCAACAATATACAACATTCAGATCATATGTTCAATCCAAGGATAACATCCTAGTTTCAATTTTAGCAACTAGGCCATGTAAAGGCTCAGCATACCATTAGGGTGGATGACTTGGCCAGTTATATAGGAGGATTCCGGGCAAGAAGCCAGGAAAACATATGATGGGGCCACCTCTATAGGCTGAGCAGCCCTCTTCATTGGCACTTGTTTACCAAAATTTGCACATTCCTCTTCAGAAAACGAAGCTGGAATCAGTGGCGTCCAAACTGGGCCAGGGGCAACACCATTAACGCGTATGCCCCTCTCCACAAGCTGAAGGGCAAGTCCTCTAGTAAATGCAACAATTGCACCCTTTGTGGCTGTGTAATCAAGAAGTTTTGCATTCCCCTTGTATGCATTCACGGATGTTGTGTTTATTATGCTGCTACCTTCCTTCATATGTTTCAAAGCATGCCTACACCCAAAAACATTCATTTGAATTGTACAGAAGTGCAGTAAAACTTATCTTGCACTATAATTGTGTAAATCTTCTTAAAATAGGACCAACCTAGTGACAAAAAAGTAAGAGAAGATATTAGTTCTAAAAACTCTCTCAAGCCTTTCCTCATTGATCTCCTCGACCGAACTAGCCTCGTACTGCTCTGCAGCATTGTTCACCAGAATATCAATCCGGCCATAGGAACTCACAACCTCATCAACCACTCTCTTGCAATTGTCATCGAATCCCAAGTCTGTTGGGACCGCCATTGGGTCCTTTGCATCTGCTGCCTTGGCTTGCATTAGTAATTTAAGTGTGTCTTGCGCATCCTTTTCTTCTTGAGACTTGACGTAAGTGAAGGCCACAGTTGCACCCTCCAGTGCGAAGCAATGGCACACCGCTCGTCCAATCCCGGAATCACCTCCAGTCACAAGCGCTATTTTGCCCTTCACATTAACAAAATAAAGAGCTTATTAAACTAAGCTCCCTCTCTGCCACTTCCACTTCCCTTTTGTGTCTCTTTTTAGTCTCATCTATCTAAAAGTATTATCTATTATTTTATTTTGAAATATCGTTGTTTATAGCATATAAAAATATATTGAACACGACCTTTTTTCCCCAAGTTTATGTGAAGATCAAAGTTAAAGATGCTTGATAAACTGGAACAGAATAATACTACACAAAGGCGTATTCTCCTAGCATGCACAGTACACTTCTGGACTATCGTACGTGAGTCTAAGAACTAAATGCAATTTATAAAGTTCAAATTTTGCGTTAGTAGGTAAGAAATGAGAAGTTAGAAAAGAGGATTAAATACTCGGAGCTTATTAGCAGGCTTGTAATCCTGACTAGAATAGTGAGGAGTAGGGTCCATGGCATGTTCCTTGCCAGGCTGAGTTTGTTGTTTCTGGGGTGGGAATGTTTGTCCACCTGAAGCCATTGATCTCGCAATAATATTAACTGGAGGATATGATCTTCCTCTCTTAGTGGTGTTAGTAAAGAAGTTGCAGGGAGAAATTAGGTGAGTAGTGAAAGTGGAAGAGAAAGCTCTAGCTGAACAAGGAAGAAAGCGAGAGCACATTTACCCTTATATATATATATATACACACGTAGAAAAGTAGCGGTGAGTGATGAATGGATAAGTACTTGGCAAATTAAGAAAGTGTCTTATATGTATACGGAGGAGTAGGATAGGAAGAGGCCGGAAACGGTGGAAGAGTAGCAGTACGTGTCTCGTAAAGCCGCATTCAGTGGACACGTCTCTAGAAACGCACGTCATGATTAAGGTGTGTTCGGCGGAGCAGCTTCAGCTGATCATCTTGAACAAGAACAATGTAGCAAGGTGGATTTTGATATATAAATATTTTTTTTTTAAAAAAAGGTTAAGAGTACTTTACAGGTGCCAATAAGAGGTACATTTAGAGTGGTGTAAGAGGTTAACTTAATGCGTCACCTGCTTTGCATGTCCGCAACGTGTTATTTTCATGCAAATTTCCATACGGCGCGGCGCTCAATTTCTCTGGACAGTTTGAGAAAACTAAGCTTATATCCAGATAACTCTCCATGATCTACTACTTACAGCAACAAAGTTTCATATTCCACTGCAAATAAATTTGATAAAAGTGGTTTTACTGATCAGAAACGTAAAATGGCGTCACTTCGAGTTTCTCCTCCTACTTTTTTGTTTCTGCTTGCACCGCTCCTTGTCTTAGCTACAGTGAACTGCGATGGTGCACTCTCTCTGTCTCTCTCTACCTTTTTCCTTAAATACTTTCTTCATTAATTCATTGTATATTAGCATCTTCTTTCCATGGTTGTTATTTTGATTTATCTGTCCTATCCTTTTTTAGTTAAGTCAGTACAGAAATTAATGTCTTCTTTCCCTTTCTTTAACTCTCTAATTTTTTAATTTTTAGATTAAGGTATTTGTGTGCATCTAACTTATTTTTAGTTTGAAAGCTCTTTGCAAACTTTCTGTATATCAAATCATAATCAGACAAACAAATTTTGTCGAATCAAAATTAGACAAATAAATTTTGGAATCTTGAAATAAAGGGAGTATAATATATTGTGTCCTATTTTATTGTACGATGAGATTATAAGAGAAGTACTAGAACTATTATAAAAAGGACAGATAGGATATATAAGGTAGAGAGGACAAAATACAATTATATATCAGATATTGAGCAAAGAAAATTGAGGATAAAAAAGGGCAAGGATTCGATTATACCAAATCGATTGTATAATCGATTGTCGGATAAAATGGGAACTTTTTTATTCCTGTTACACAATAATTGATGTAAGTAATGATATAATACAATAAAATCGAATGTAAATTTAGGTAATAATCAAAACGAACATAGTAATGGTATTTAAATAAAGGTAAAATAACTAAACTTTCAAGCGAACGTTAGATTTGAATTTGTTTTCACCAAGAGTGTTATAAACTTTCAGCCTATATAGTCAACCCTACATGTTTTACTTATTACGTTGGATTACAAGTTTCACTTATTATGAATATTACTTCAAAATTATTACTTCAAAATTACCTTAAGCTTACGGAGCAATATATACCAGAATAAAATTAATGAAAACAATAAGCTGCTTTTTGTTGATCTTTAGTTTCTAAGAACTTGGATACGGAACCGGGTATAATATAAACAAATTTGATTTTTGCCACGAATTTAATTCCTGTGTAGTGTTGCCGCAATGGCACAATGCAGAAATTGATTTAACTATAAATTTATGAGATGTTTAGTGTTAACTCTTTAAGTAATGACATGATGTGTTATGGCAGATGAAGAAGGTCACGTCCTTTCCGGTATCAACAGTTACCGGCAATCCCACAGCTTACCAGCCCTAACGAAGCAGGACAAGGCCGATTGTCTAGCCGATGAAATCGCAGATGAGTTGGAAAATCAACCATGCCCCAGCGGCGGCATTACTCCCGCTCCAGCATCTCAATTTGCTCAGTACCCTAAACCGTTAGACAAGTGCAACATAAACATTAACACAACAGCTGAAGGTGTTATCCTCCCTGTTTGTGTCCACGATCGGGTCGCGACCCTAGTGCTAACGAACTATACTCAGTCTCGGCATGCGGGGTACCTTAACAATTCTAAGTATACTGGAGCTGGAATTGGCACCGAGAAAGACTGGACTGTGGTGGTCTTGACGACGAACACTGTCGGTGGAAGCTTTACTAGTGGAGTAACTATTACTAGTGTGTTTGGTGTGAGTACAATTCACTATTATTTGATGTTTGTGTTGTTAGGTCTCTTCCTAGCTATTAATTGATGTCATAGTAGTTACGTGATCATCTGTATCGAACCCCTGTTTTATTTCATGTATGTATTCCAAGAATATTTGGATTATTACGAGTATGTGTGACTACTATAATGTGTTGAATTTAGGAAAATGATGGACCACACAGTGGAGTAAAGGGTGAATATTACGTCTAAACCGCACTAAAGGGGAACCCATTGGAAATTTCAGCCGCCAATGTCGTTGTAATGGCATTGTAGTTGGACGATGTATTTTTTTTCTAATTCAATATTTAATACGTTACATTTGGATGATTTTAATAACTAGATATTGATTTGAAATTTTAGAAGCTACTTTACTTAACAAAATAAGTAATATATCATTAAAAATGTGATTTCTTTCAAAAAAAAATTAAATAAATAAACAAATAGGACCTTTCACCCTTTCTCTTCTTTTAAAGAGTTATGAACGTTTCGTTAAAAATTTTAAAATAAAAATTTAGTTAAAAATAAAAATGAAAATGGATGAATAAACTTTTACATTGATAAACTTTTCTATGTAACAAATATATTAAAAAGTAATTTTCTTCCAAAATAAATAAATAAATAGTATTTTTTACACGTTTCTCTTTATTTTAAAGAGTTATAGAGTTTTGCTAAAAACTAAAATGAAAATAAATCAATAAATTGATATTGACGAACTTTTGCATCGAGAAGCTACTTAATATAACAAAATAAGTAATATAGCATTAAAAAAGTGATTTTTTTAAAAGTAAATAAATAATACCTTTCACGCAAAAACTCATACATAATTTTATATTTGTAAGTACTTCAAAAATAAGTTAGAAAAATATTTAATAACCGATTTTTTTGATTGATTAATCGGTTACGTTTTATTCTTGAAATATTAGTCTAATTAGTTATTACCAAATAGTTCTGGGGTTATATGTAATTTTCTATTAAAAGTCTGAGTAAGTAACAATAGTCGGAGTTTGGGCGGTTGAGACCGCAAAATGAAACACGACGGGATCGCCGCGGGAATAAAGTGACACAAAACCGCCGCGCAGCACCGCCGCTTTTTGGAGTCTGTCAACTATGGCGGAGGATGACGATGATAGCTTTGGCGATTTCACCTTTGCATCTTTTTCCACCAATTCCCTGAATACCCAATTCACCCCACCCAAATCAGTCACCCCCCCTGAAGATGATGAATGGGGTGATTTTGTCGAATACCCTAGTGGATCTGAACCTTCCACTGCATCCTCCCTCTCCCAATCGAAACCCTTCGACCCTTTTGGTTTCTCCCCTAATAGTGCTTCCGTTTCTGAATCTCCGTCCAAATCTGAACAAGCCAAGAAGACAACTGGGTGGGTGAAACCTTCTGGGGCTCTTCCACTATCATTATTCGGTGAAGAAGAAAATGCTGAGGAAGAAGAGAAAGAAAAGTCTGCTAAAGAGGATACGAATACTAAAGTAAGAAACGGATCTAATGCTAATTTGGGTTATGGATTTGATTCAACTAAATCTAACTTATACAATCAGAAGTTGAAATCTGAAAATGGGCCACTTTCGAATACCGGTAATTTGGTAGGCCTAGATAGTGTTAATTCGAATTCTAAAATGTCTGCATTACAGTCGAATGGATTGGGGTTTGATCCGAATATGGGTTCTCCCTGTGTTAGTAGAGTGCAGAGCTTGAACTACCTGGCGAGCTTGATTGGTGAGGATCAACAGATCAGGGCACAAAGTACGGGTCTTGTGTTGGATTCGGATGATTTTAGTTCTTCTGCTAATGTATCAAGTTCAATATTTAATATGTCGAATCCAGATTTTGATATGTCCAAATCTACTCTGAATGGATTGAATAGAACTTTGAGTGCAGATGCCATAACAAGTTTGAATGATCGTGGTCTGCAGATCAAGACTGGAGGTATTGGGCTTGTTTTCGAGTCAAATGCATTGAGTTCTTCAGCAAATTTTACAAGTTCATGTTTGAGTGTGTGGAATCCGGATTTCCATTTGTCCAAATCCAATCAGAATGGATTGAGTAGAACTTCGAGCCTGGATGTTATATCAAACTTGAATGATCAGGGTAAGAATGTGGGAATTGATCTTAATTTAACTGGTGTAAGTTCTTCAGCTGCCACCAGTTCAAGTGTGTGGAATTTGGATAGTAATAGGTCCAGATCCAATCAGACTGGATTGAACAGGGCACTGAGTCTGGATGCTTTAACAAACTTGAATGATCAGGCTCAGCAGATCAAGACTGAAAATAGTGGGCTTGTTCCCAATTCAAATGGTTCTAGTTCTTTTGCAAATGCATCAAGTTCAACTTTTGGGGGATGGAATTTTGATTTTGGAGGATTTGGATCTGCTGTTGAAATGTCAAATTCTAGTTCCAATGTTGGTGGATTTAATTCAAACATCAATGCTGTTGGCTCAAGTGCAGATGTGGATGATCATCACAACGACAATGATGAAGATGAGGATGGATGGGAGTTCAAGGATGCTTACTCAATTTCTAAAGTTGGAGATTGTAATAGTAAGGTAAAGCTTGACAGTTCTAAGATCAATACTAGTTATGGTGCGCACTAGTGCAACAAAACAAAATTATGTTGTGTACTAGTTAAAACCTTCTCTGTACTACTTTTAAGCTCATATTATGAGCATGTGATATTGGAGTCATCTGCATCAATTTTGACGGTAGGACGGGAATTCCACGCGGTTATTGTTTATTGTCAGGTTTCCCATTCAATTACTGCAGACAAGATGTAACTTTTTTGGTGGTCAGTTCAGTTACAGAACTGTTTGCTATGTCTTATACTGTTCAACTGTTACTTTTTTGGTAATTTTTTGTCCATTCACAATTCATGCAAA